ATACTCCTGCAAATATGGCTGATGGTTACGGTACACAACATAACTGGCACAAGAAGAGTATATTCTGGGAACTTCCATACTGGAAGGATTTATTGTTGCGACACAATCTAGATGTGATGCATATAGAGAAGAACTTCTTTGAGAACATCATAAATACATTACTGAATGTACCCGGGAAGACAAAAGATAACAAGAACTCAAGGTTGGATTTGCCTGGGTTATGTTGTAGGAGTGAGCTGCATATTAAAAGCGATGGGAAAATTTCAGTTCCCATTTTCAGATTGTCAGCAGAAGCGAAGGCGGCGTTGTTTAAGTGGGTGGCATCAGATGTGAAGTTTTCCGATGGATACGTGTCAAATTTATCTAGATGTGTTGAGCAGGGACAAAAGTTTTTTGGGATGAAGAGTCATGACTGTCATGTATTTATGCAACGACTTCTACCATTTGCCTTTGCGGAGTTGCTTCCAAACAATGTTCACGAAGCACTTGCTGGTAACTTTTCATTTAAATATATATATATATATAACAGATTTGCCGGAGTTAATTATAGAATATTATATCTTATTAATATGCAATTGGATTTACAGGTATTGAAGCCTTTTTCAGGGATCTCAGCTCACGTACATTAACTGAAGATATCATCAGTCAACTTGATGATAATATCCCGATCTTGATGTGTAATCTTCAGAAAATTTTTCCGCCATCCTTTTTTGACGTCATGGAACATCTAGTTCTCCATCTCCCACACGAGGCATTGCTACGTGGACCGGTACATAACGAAAGGATGTATCCTTACGAGCGATCCATGAAATACTTAAAAGGGAAAGCAAAAAATCATGCAAGGGTGGAAGGTTCAATAGTTGCTGGGAGCTTGAATGAGGAAACATCTCACTTCACTTCGTACTACTTTGGCTCAAAAGTCCGTACAAGAAAACGGGTTCCGAGCAGATATGACTATGGTGGTGTTATTCCGACTTATATTGAAAAGGATGTTCCTGACATATTCTGTCAGATTGGACGTCTAGGTGGAAAACTAAAAGAAGTTTGGTGGTCGAGTGCAGAAGATGCTCACAGTGCCCACACATATATACTTCTTAATTGCGAGGAGTTTCAGGAATTTGAAAGGTAATTAATTATATAAGTTAAAATTACATGTTTGATGATATTAAATTAATATTTGATGATCTATCCTGGTTCTAAAAACAGCGATTTCGTTGCACAAGTTGAAGAAGCTTTACCAGGAATATCAATTAATGATCTCAACAAAAGAAAAGAGCAACACTTTGTGCAGTGGTTAAAAACACAGGTAAACCAACATATATATAATTAATATATATATATATATATATATATTATGTTATTAATTTTTACTATGAATTAACAACTTATACATGTACAGGTTAAGTATGATGATCCATACTATAGTGCGTGGGTTCATGAATTGATACAAGGTTCAATTGCTAAGGTGACCACATCACCTATGTATTTCACACGAGGTTACACTTTTCACACTTACGAGTATGGAAGTCGTCGAGCAACGGTGAACTATGGAGTATGTGTAAAAGGCGAAACAGATTTCTACGGAATCTTTCAAGAGATCATCGAGGTGGAATTCCCTGGATTAGTGAAGATGAAATGTGTCCTCTTCAAATGTGATTGGTTCGACCCGACGGTTAATAGGGGTATTCGGTATAACAAATTTGGAGTTGTGGATATCAATTCAAGACAGAGGTACAACAAATTTGAGCCATACATCTTGGCAGCTCGAGCAGACCAAGTTTGTTTTATTCCATATCCATGGATTAGACAATCTGGAATATCCTGGTTAGCTGCTATTAAAGTTACACCTCGGGGTCGTGTAGTGAGTGACGATGAACAACCACCTTTGCAAGGAGATGCGGTTAACGAAGTGGCAGTGCCTGAACAACATGTTGATGAAATTTTACTTGTTGATCCTCAAAACCTAGGATACGAATATCTTCCAGATGACTTAGCGGATGAAGGCAACGAAGATGAATTTGAAGAAAATGATGAAATAGATGATGGTTCAGAAGATGATCATGATGAGCAATAACATATATATGTATTTTGTATTGTATTAATGTTTCTAAAGTTTTGTGTTAATAGTTTTAAAGTTTTAATATTTTTAATATTAAATAAGAATTTTTCTGCTATATTGAAGTTTGGGGTTTGGGGTTTGGGACATAGGGTGTAGATGATATATTGAGGTTTAGAGTAGAAGTTTAATTAAGGTTTGAAGTTTGGGGTTTGGGGTTTGGGGTTTCGGACATAGGGTTTAGACAACTGTAGTCCCTTTTTGGTCGTAAAACACAAGTGGTCCCAGGCTGGTCGTAATATATATATATATATTTTATATATTCGTCCCTTATTGGTCTTAATTTTGGTCCCTTTCTGGTAATAAAAAACGGGTGGTCCCAGGCTGGTTGTAACATATATATATTTTTAATATTGGACACCTTTTGGTGGTAACTATTAGTCCCTCTCTGGTCGTAAAGCACTTGTGGTCCCAGGCTGGTCGTAAAAATTCCCTATAAAATACCAAGTTCCATTCGAAATTTGTACATCAAAACACAAACATCTCTTTCTTTAAACATCAAAACACCATTTAAAAAAAAAAAAACATAATATTTAGTTTTTGCCTAAGATATTTGTAAAAATACCATAGACAAATTCTTCCATAGATTTGAAATATTTCTATAGAAGATTTGTCTAAGGTATTTATACATGTCTTAGGAATATT